CTCACACGTGGAAAAATCGCGGTAGAACACGATTATAACGCGAGTTTGAACGAAAACAGTTCTCTAATTTGTAAAACGAGGTGAATCCCACTTCTGAATTTAAAAGGCTATAAGATTTCAGTTCGTAATGTCATTCATCCGTGCCTGGACGGGGACAATACACGTGATACACGTTGGCGAGCGCGGCCGACCAAGCGCGAAGGATTTTTGTCAGGAATGAACGAGAGCCTTAATTTAGAGAAACTGTAATTCTGTATGTCCACGTATACATTTATTCTCGTCTTATTACAACTTTAAGATGGAACACAAAATGGAGGAACTGCTCCTCACGAACGACTTAACTAGTCCGCGGTTACTCTTAAATTCGCCCAGCTCATGCCGCCCGCGTGCTCCGGAGTATGTGCGCATCCGCAGACCATGATCTGTCAAACACTAATTGGCTCCATACGAGCCTTCGCAGCAGTGGTTCTTCTACGCAGTGGTGGTCACAAGGAATTTTCTTAGAACAATAAATGAATTAACACAGATAGAATATAATACTTATGTCGAATATTGTGTCTTCTAAAAGGAAAACAGTCAATAATTACAAGAAAAATAAATTGTACAATACAATTCACAACTTTATTGTACAAGAAAAAAACAAATTTTATAAGAAAAGATATTTTAATATTAAAATACTAATTCTATTCTATTATTTATAAGTGTATTATGTGTACACATGTTTCTTTTGATTGATAATTTCAAAATTTTCTATTGACAAAAAAAATCGAAACATACTCGTATTTTATATCTTTTCGCAGTCAAATCTTTTGAAGAAGAAAATTAAATTCAAATACAAAATAAAGGCGAAAAACAGAATTTATGAAGCTTTTATTTGTTCAAAGGCAGATGTACAACAGCTTAAATTTGATATTGATCAGAAACTTGAATTTATTGAAGATGAAGTAAACTCATTTTCAACCAATCATTCTTGTAATGATAACATACGTGTATGAAAATATAACATGCTATTTCAGAACAATGTTCAGTAAACAACATTTTCAATAATAATACTATTGAGTATGATTCGAGTTCTGGCAATAATGATACTATAGATGGTACTATAGATGATACTATAGATACTGTAGTTATGAAAACATTTATTGCAATAAATTTGAAATTAAAAAAATTAAAACTCGTGTTTCTCAAAATAAAGAAGAAAAAAAAAATATTTTGACAGGACTCAGAAATTGGACACTTTATAATATATCTAAAGAAAAAGTAGATAGTATTTTGAAATTATTTAAACCTATTTTACCTTTTCTATCCAAGTCATACAAAACTCTATTTAGAACTCCACGCAAAGTTTCTCTGCAAATTATTGGAATAGGGCAGATGTGATACAAAGGTATCAAACTTAACCGAGAATATATTCAACCGAGAATAAATCAACAGTACTTGACAGTTCATAAACAAATTTGCATGGATGGATTTCTTCAGAAAGATTCCAGTAAACAATTTTGGCCGATACTTGGAAAATTTGCACATGACAAATATTTATTATAGGATAGGACATTCTATTTTGATAGAGGAAAATCAAATGATTTAGAAGCTTCATAACTATATTCTCGAGGTGGCAGAACTAATAGAAAATGATTTTGAATGTAATATTTCCATTTTATGTTAGAAATTATATCTTAGATGCACAAGTTCGTAGTTTTATAAAACAGTATGTATCACACAATTCTCACTTTTCATGTGAAAAATGTGCAATAAAAGGCAAGTGGTTTCAAAATAAGCTTATATATATATGTATCACTTGCGAATTACGAACAGATGAAAGTTTTAAAAGAAGACAAAATCTAGATCATCATAATTAATAAATGGTAATTCTCCTCTGGAAAGAATTAACATAGGAATCTCAATTTCGATTAGATCCTATACATCTTATATATTTAGGAGTTTTCAAATGATTTTTATCTTTTCTTATTGAGAAACGAACTCACTGTATGCTTCCAAGAGACACTGTAACGAAAATTAATGATAATTTGAATGATAGATCAGTATTGTCCTAAAGAATTTAATCGTAAAGTCTGGGAGATCGGAATAATAGAACAAAGTGAAAAGCTACAGAATTTAGAAGATGTCTATTTTATGATGGAATTAAAATATTTAAAGATCTTCCTATAAATATTTATCAAACTTTTTTATTGCTTCATTCAGTTGTATACATATTGTCAAGTTCTATTCTTTGTTATTACTGAAATCATGCGAATTATTTACTAAAACAATTTATCAAACAAGCTGCTTACATTCTAGACCGTAATTTTTGTATATAATGTACATTCTATTGCTCATCTTGCTTAAAGAATGTAAAAACTATGGCCCTTTAGAATATGGCCATTTAGTGCTTTTCTTTACGAAAACTATTTGGGCGTTATTAAAAAGATGCTTCAATCAAATTACAAACAACTAGCCAAATGTGATTCAGAGATAAAAGGTATATTAACTGAAAATATTTTACCTAATTCAAATGAACTGATTTTAAGAAGCCATCATGAAAAGTGGCCGGAAATTATTGACGGTGACCAATACAGAAGTAATGTGGAAAGGAATGATCTTGAATAGTAATAAACAAGTATTTCTCTACTGTTTTTTGGAGAAATCGTGCTATTATCAAATATTATTAATTCTGAACAAAGTACGTAGGTTGCTGGAAAAGTTTCTACAATCTAATACTTTCAGTGGCACCAACGTTCTGCTACTATCATGTCCGTAAAATTAGACGTTTTTAACCTATATTTCAGTTGACAGTTTGTACCCAAGCCAACTAGTTTTGTTTGCATAGTATTTTAAAAGAAGTCATTTTGTGAGAAAATGGAAATTTCGCGTGAAAATTTTCGGGCAATGATTTTTTATAAATGTAAACTCCGAAACAAAGCATCGATCGATTTCATTTGGCTTTTGGGGATGAAGCACCATCTAATAGGGCTGTTTAATTGGTTTGCTGAATTCCAGTGTGGACATATCTTTCTTTGTGACGAATTCCGTGAAGGTCGTCCATCCACGTCTATTGTTGCCACTAATGTTGCTGCTGTGCGTGAAATGATTGAGCGAGATCGGCATACGATATATTGCGAGATTCAGGCATCCTTAGGCATTGACATGAAAGCAATACATATGATTTTGCATGATCACTTGAGTGTATGGAAACTTTGCAGTCGTTGGATCCTACACAATTTGACCGAAACTCAAAAACAGGCTCGTGTTAAATGGAGCAAAGAAATGCTCAAGAAATTCAATCCAGGTCGGTCAAATTTGGTCTACAACATCGTTACTGGGGACGAAACATGGATCTATTCGTATGAGCCCAAAAGTAAACAACAATCCACTGATTGGGTACTTCAAAATGAACTGAAACCAACAAAAGTTGTTCGTTCACGCAGTGTTGCCAAGCAAATGATTGCTTGTTTCTTCAGTTATACCGGACATGTGACAACCGTGGCTTTAGAGGATCGAAGGATTGTAAATACTGATTGGTATACAACAATTTGTTTACCAGAAGTCATAAATGAATTGCGTAGAAAAATCAAGAACAAACCGAAATCGTCGCATCATCCTTCATCATGACAACGCCAGCACGTCAAACCGTTGATTTTTTATCCAGTAAAAATGTCAAATTGATGACTCATTGTCGTATTCACCTGATTTATCACCTAATGACTTCTTCTTGTTCCCAAACATTAAAAAGGAGATGCATGGTGAGTGATTTGAATCGCCTGAAGCAGCTGTTGAAACATTTCGTACACTGATTTCTGAGATTACAGCCTCAGAGTGGAAAAAATGCTTCAAAAATTGGTTCGAGTGTATGCAAAAATGTATCGATCTTAAAAGCGAATACTTCGAAAAACAATAAAATCATTTACCGAATTTTACATGTTTTTTTTCATATTGTTTGCAGAAACTTTTCCAGCAGCTTACGTATATAATTCTAGTTGGGCAAAAATTTAGGTAATTTATTATATTTACACGATTTTTATGATTTTCCTCTCCCATCGTCCTCTATTGACATATATAAAGTTGCAGAAAAAGAGATAAGATATCGGTACTAGAAATTATCACATGTCAAAGCCAAATGTATGACTATTTTTCTTATAAATGAAATTCTGTGCATATCTATGATCAATTCGAATTTCTAACAATTTTTATACCACGTTTTTTGTTTATAATTCACATTTTTTTGTGAATAGGTAAATAGTTTTTATTAATTTTTAAATGTGAATTGTTTACTAAAAAATAGAGAACAAATTTTTGATCTTACAATGAGTTATATAAAATGAATAATATTTTTTTTATTAGGTGTACAAATAAGTTTCCGCCATTTGACAAAAGACGGCGCCACTAGCAAGCTATGGTTAAAATTGTCTGATGTAAAACATTATATCGTAAGGTTGGACATCTGTCAACAACATAACCTTGAAATACTAGCGATTTTGTATCAGCATCATATATTTTTTTTGTGAGAAAATGCCGAGTTTTGAGCCGAATAAGCGTCATTTGCGGGAACTTTTGATTTACTTCTTTAATTTGAAGAAATCTGCAGCTGAGGCTCATCGATTGCTTGTAGAAGCATATGGTGAGGCTACCTTAAGTGAGAAAAGTTGTCGTGAATGGTTTCCAAAATTTAAGAACGGTGAATTTGATGTCGAAGACAAAGAACGTAGCGGAAGGCCGAAAGTGTACGAAGACGCGGAATTGGAAGCATTATTGAATGAAGATTCGTGCCAAACGCAAAAAGAACTTGCACTTACATTTTGACTTACATCAATAAAACATTATGTATCGTTCTTTCACAATAAATGCTTAATTTTTTATTAAAAACGATGGAAACTTATTTGTACACCTAATATATTATCTTTTTTTATCAGAACGATTAAGATTTATAAGTAATTATATGTTTTTGCGATTAATTTAATTTTTTTAATGTATTAAATATTGATGACATTTAATTAAATTTGAAGAAAAAGAGAAATCTGTGGTACCCTCGTCATGGATTAATCAAGATAAGTCATGCAAATGGCTACCAAAGAAATTCTCTAATAACAAAATTACGCGATTTATTATGAGTTTGACTGAATCTACCTCTGAGTTTAATAATTATCCAGTTACAATTATGTATAAATATGGTATGTATGATTTGTATTTTTCCTACATTTCTATAAAATTAAATATATGTGAATTATAAATATATGTATATTATAAGACAATACATGTAGTGAATGATAATTAGAGCCCCTTATTTCACGTGTATATGAAACAAAAACATGGGTTATATGTGTACTTAGCGTGTATATGTATATCATTTATACCTTGTGGATGCTCGCGAGATACAAGGGTAAATAATATAATATATACATGTACCTAAGTACACGTATGACTCATTTTGTTTCATGTGAAATGAGAAGCTCTAATGATCACTTTTTTTTAATAGAAAGCAAGAAATTAATAGAAATACACAATAATTACTTGTTTTAAAATTGCTACAGTTATATAATCTCTGTGATTATTTCGAAAGAAATCCAATGTTTTGATAGTATAAATTTGATTTGCGCTCATATCCGTCTTATTTTCAGACAATAAATATCGTAATGTTGTTAAAGCATGTAAATTAGCCGAAGATGATGGTGATCTTAACACAGCAGCAGGAGAAACTGATTTGGAAAGGCCTAGAGAAAAAAACGTAAAAGATAATGAAATATTGAATGTAAAAGAAATTAAAGAAAATGTTACAGAACTTCTAAATAAAAAAGAGGATTGAACGAAAAAGGACAATGAAATTAAAGTAACAAATAAAGTTAAAAAACGTCTACAAAGAAAAAAAAATGTCCAAAAAAGAATAATAACAGAGAAATTCTAATCAAAAATCCTTTCCTAAAATCAGACAAAGACAATATTATATAATACATAATGATACATCAGCACATTTTAATGTTGCTATAAAAGATGCAATTCTGTCTACTAAGACACGTTTTAATAACTTGCTTACAAGTGAGGAAAGTGAACCTATTGCCTGTAGCAGTCAATTGGAAACAAATACATTATCTGAAAATAGTGAGTATATATCTCAATTATCAGTGATTAAGATTTTTTCATTCGATTATTTTATTTAGATTCAAATAATGATGAAATTCTTTCTGGTACTGATCATATATCACAATAGTAATGAAATTTTATTCGCCAAGCCATCATTCAAGCGTCTTCGTCTATAAAAAATAGTTAGTCATTATTTATATATATTTAGCGTAATTTTCTCAGAGTTGATAAGTAACACGTTATTTGTAATGCGCAGTACTGTTACAATTACTTTTTTGCAGTAAAGTAACTTTGTCAACCCTGGATTTTCTTACTACATTTATTATCTATTATTAAAAATTTTTTTTAATTTTTCGTAAAAAACGAATATAAAGATTTTAACATACTGTTAAAAGTTGTACTAGAGTAGAATGAGGAAATAAAAGGAAAATTAGACCATATTAACTTGTTATAAGAGTATTTAGAAAATTAGATCCTAAAGATTCAGCACCTGTCAAATCGAATGGTTTGCCTTACCTCTTAAGAATGAGTTTCATGCATTTGAAAAGTTTCTCAAAATTGATGATAATTTTCTCCTTACGGTATACTTTTTTATGTTTATTGTTGTATTGGTCACTTTTGCTAATTTTATTTATTAGTAAATAATTAAAATATGTAACTAATGTATAAAAGAATTATTAACAATTATAAATTTCAGATTGACTATATAATTCTATTGATGATACTGACTCGAAAGAGTGATGAAGCAATACTCATAGGAAAATTACTGGCAAAAATATTTTCAAATTCACTGGCTAGGATTATTAATTATTCCGGTTCAGGATCTATAAAACTAAAACTTCAAAACACAAACATTCTTACAGTAATTGAATGTAAATTTTGAACTTTATTAAATTTTATCTTGGGTAATATAATTATATTGGTAACTTTAAATCATTACTTTTTTTCAGATGCTATTATCAAAAAGATCTCATCATGCGATGTAACAGAAGTGCAATCGAAATTATGCGATGGTTCTCCACAAGTAATCAAAGAAAGTTGGATACTTAAGGTTTTTTTTTAAATGGATACGTAATGAAAAGGCTATTTTAAAGACTGAAAAAAGATATATTATTTTTCTTTTTAAAATAAATATGGGAAACTAGGATTAAAAATAATACAGATTAATTGTAATATCTATGTCAAAGAATGTTAAAAACAAAATACAAAAGCGTAAAACAGATATTAAAGTGAGTAATTAATTATATTACAAAATTCTCTTTTTACGTTTTTATATTTTTTTTTATAATATTTTTTGTGTGTTGTATGTTACAACTTACCTGTCTATATTACTTTTAACCCAAATCTTCTATTTCTAGTATTTTTAAGGATAAATACTACCGCATTAATAACTGTGATTTTTTAAAATTATATTTCTTAAATTTGATTAGTCTTCTTGCTTTCTGCTTAAATTTATTTGAAATTCTATTCATAAAGTATGTATACTTTTTTTAATATATCTAATTTAATATTATATATGTAGCTCATATATAATATCTTATTTTATAAGGTTATGAAGTTTAGATTATAATTAGAACTCAGACGTTCGAGCACACTTTGTTTATGTTGAATGAGTCATGCACCAGCTGAAATAATATAATACTTATTTTACTTTAGCAAGCATTCGACTCTTTTACATACGCAACAGTTTTTCGTCCGCGCCTCGTGACATTTAAACCTTAATTTATAAGATTTCGTTCTTTTTTTATATAATTGTGAACATATACAGTCGAAATATTCCCAATGGGCAAAAAAACGTTTTTTTAAATGTTTTTAAAAACTTTAAAAAAACGTTTAAAAAAAATTTAACGGGATTTGTCTCTATTTTTTCATTTAAAAAACATTTAAACGTTAAAAAAACGTTTATTTAATGTTAAAAAAACATTTTTTTAATATTTAAAGGAAATGTTTGTTTAATGTTAAAAAAACGTTTTTTAAATGTTAAAATTATTTGAACAAAATTATAAAAAATATTGTACAACACAGAATATCTTTTATAATTTATTATTTTTTATTATAATATAGTACATTTTACTTTAGACAACCAATTTATTAATTAATAGTAATTTTTAATTATATTTTTTACGTACCGAGTTTTGAACTTGGGATCTCAGGATTGAGTCTCATATCTTATCCGTTACGCCACTTGTAATTGTCGATGGACACAGTTCTTATTGTCCATAAATGATATACATTTAACGCAATTATGTTAGGTTAACTTCTTTTCCGTGTTTATTTTTTTATTCCGGCCTGTTTTTTATTTATTTGAAAATTTTAAAAAATAATACCATTTTTTTAACTTTTATATTAAACGTCAAATAAACGTAAAATAAATGTTTTTTTAACATATTTTAAATAAATAAATAACGTAAAACAAACATTTAATAAACGTAAAACCTATTCTACAATGTACTTTTTGTTTTTTGTTTCTTTTTACTATTTTTTACATCTTCTTGTTTATCCGATTTTTGTTTTATGTCGCTCGAGATAAAAATTAATGAACTTTGAAAGAAATATGTAGCAAGAAATATAATTGTCGTTAAAACGGTTCTCAAAAGAGAAAAAAGTAGAAGGTAAAAAGCAAGAAACAGGAAACAAAGAGCGCATTGTAGAACAAGCTTCAAACAAACGTTCCTTCGAAACATTATTTTAAACGAAAACTTAATGTAAAATGAAGATTTAATAAACGTCAAATATATATTTAAGAATATTCCATTGAATCATTATTTCAAACGAAAAATTAATGTAAAACAAACATTTAATAAACGTTAAATAAACATTAAAAAAATCTTATTTTGAAAATCATAAAACTTAAAATTTATTACGAATAACCGTTTAAAAAATATTTAATTAACATTAAATAAATGTTATTCTGAAAACGAATCGTGAAATGTAAAATTAATGAAAAATAAACATTTAAAAAACATTTCCTCTCCTTTGGAACATAATGGTCCAACATGAAATAAATGTTTAGAATATGTTTCTTCAAGCCATTATCTTAAATAAACAATTGACGTTAAAAAAACACATTTAATAAACGTTAAATAAGCATTTAAAAAATATTTTTTCAAATTACTGTTTCAAATGAGTAATTAATGTAAAACGAACATTTAATTAACATTAAATAAACGTTTAAAAAATATTACTTCCAAACGTTATTTTAAATGAAAAATTAATGTAAAACAAACATTTAATAAATATTAAAAAAAAATATTTCTTTCAAACATCATTTCAAATAATTAATTAATGTAAAATGAATGTTTAATTAACATTAAATAAACATTTAAAAAACATTTTTTTCATCGTTATTTGAAGTAAAAAATTAATTAAAACAAACATTTCGTAAACGTTAAATAAACGTTTAAAAAATGTTTTTTGAACAGTTATTTTAAATAAAAAATTAATGTAAAATAAACATTTAAGAAATGTTAAATAAACGTTTAAAATATATCTCTTTCAAATATTTCAAATGAATAATTGATGTAAAATGAACGTTCAATTAACGTTAAATAAACATTAAAAAAATATTTCTTCAGAACATTATTGTAAACAAAAAATTAGTGTAAAATTAACATTTAATAAACGTTAAATAAATATTTAATAAATGTTCCTTCAAAACATTACGTCAAACGAAAAATTAATGTGAAATAAACATTTATTTAACATTAAATAAACGTTTAAAAAACATTTCTTTGAAACATCATTTTAAACGCAACATTAGTATAAAATTAATATTTAAAATAAATGTTAAATAAATGTTATTTTGAAAACGAATCGTGAAATGTGAAATTAATGAATAATAAACGTTTAAAAAACGTTTAAAACCATTTTCTCTCCATTGGATTATCACGATTTTTTTATGTTAAATAAAGCATGTAATCAATTTTATAATTTCTTCCTATTTTGTGATATAACTCGTATTTAGAATATCTCGCAGATAATATTTTATGAATTTTGAAGGAATATCTAATTTTGATGTGTTGATATTCTGATTATGATTTCACGAAATACTTTATAGATATAAATAAAACTTTAAAAATACAAATCTTATAAAATTTTGCATATTATGAAAACATATAATTAAAATATCAGCATATGAAAATAGATATTTTTCTGAAATTCATAAAATATTATTTAAAACAATTCACATTTCCAACAGTCATAAAAAAGTCACAATTAGTCATGAAAAAGTCACATTATTGTTTAATTAAGTTATTGAATGAGGTCATCTTGACTTTTAAAAAATGATTACTTTTTGATGCTATTTTGTTCTGCTTGAGTATATGTACAAATACTGCAAAATTATAAGTGAATACATTCAAAACATTTCTTAATATATTATTTATTTTTGTAGTCGGATTGAATTCAAACTATAAGAGATTGTGTATTATTGCCTAAAGCCTTTAATGAGTTAAGCATCTGCTTTTCATCTATTATTATCTTCTTAAAAAATTCACAATTCATTATGTTACCCTCTTCATCATCTTACCCCCCCCCCTTTCCCAGAACGCGGCAACGCTTGCCGCGCAATGAAAATTGACGCGATAGCCAATCAACGTCTAGCTTGCTTAGAAGTAATAAATATATAATTTCCACCGCGCGACAAAAGTTGAATCAATCCAACTTCTGCCGCGCAGCGGAAGTAATATTACATCATTTCTAGAAGTTTTGTAAAGTGGGGCCGACTTAAAAACATAGAATTATAAGCTAGTGCGACAACTTCCGCCGCGTTGTGCAGAAGCCATTACAGAGTGTTCCCTTTTTAAGCAGGGAGTACAAATTCTTGCATAATGCATAACACATAAGGCATAAGAAAATAAACCAATCAGAATCTCTTATTTTCCTTCTTTTCTGTAAAATAAAGAATTAGTTAATTTCCTCATATTTTGTGCGTTATGCAAAAATCTGCACTATATTTAGTGCAACCATCATGATGTAACAGTGCACTGCCGCAGCCGTTTCAAAATTACTATGATACTGCCAGCACTACTGTAACGTCGTATTTGTAACGTCGGAACGACTTTGCAGTAGACTGGCAATAGTAAATAGACATGGATAAACGTACTAAATTGTCTAAATAAATTTTTTGAACGAAAACAGCAACGATAGTTCTTCCGAAGAAGATAGACTAATTATGGGATCACTAATTCAAGCAGTTTGACCTCGTGTTAAAAATTATATAGACATAATTAATGAATATTCAGATATGGAATTTAAGAGTCAGTAAAATGAATATATATATCGATTTATCATTTCCAGCCTTGAAAAGTGGACGATGTATCGAAAGAAAAGTGGACATTGCTATATAGTTTACATCTACTTTGTCAAAGGGCAGTAATGCGCGGCAGCATTTTGCGATTACAGATTTTGGGCCGTCATGTCCTCTCTCAGATTTCTCTCTAGTTTCGAAATGTAGTCTGCTCACCGAGCGATTGGTTCTTATTTATGAATCCGTAAGTAAAGACCAATCGCTCGGAGAATAGCTTGCATTAAAAACCATAGAAAACTGTTGCAACCTTTTAGTCGGCGAGTGTACACGTTATAAACATTAAAAAATTTACTCTCAACACTTGTATAAGCACTCATTAAAAACATTAAACAGTTTAAACATTTGAGTGTCATTTCAAAATTAAATTATGTAAAATTAAGTTAATCTTTATAATTAATGTTAAAATGTTGAATATGGACGTTGCAGATTTATTTATAAAAGAAATATGTTTTAACTATACATGAAACTTTTTTTGACAATATCTATTAAACAGATATGTTACAACTATATATCAATTAACGTTAAAGGGTGAAATCACACAGTGTGGAATAGGACTGCAGAATACAGAATGCGTCATTGAAACAACCATTCAGCGCTATTCTGCATTTGATGTTACAGAATAGCGAGTGCGTCATTGTTCTTGTAATAAACTATCGTATTTTGAAAGAATTTGATGCTGATTGATGTGATGGAATTGCGTAATGTCGAGATGAATGAAGCA